GACAGGCACAGAGGCAGGGCTAGTTAGGACCACAAGCATATCCTGTAGCTCTAAGAGGGAGAGATTGAGTATATACTGTGTGGATCTTTCTGTTTCTGGGACAGCTCACTCAGGATGATCCTTTCCAGGTCCCACCATTTAACTGCAAATTTCATGATTTCCTTGATTTTTATTGCTGAGTAATATTCCATTGTGTATATATACCACAATTTGTGCATCCACTCCTCCACTGAGGGGCATCTGGGCTGTTTCCAGCTTCTGGCTATTACAAATAAAGCTGCAAACAAACATGGTTGAGCAAATGTCCTTATTGTGTACTTGAGACTCTTTTGGGTATATGCCTAGGAGTGGTGTAGCTGTATCTTGAGGAAACGCTATTCCTAGTTGTCTGAGAAAATGCCAGATTGCTTTCCAGAGTGGTTGTACAAGTTTATATTCCCACCAGCAGTGGAGGAGGGTTCCCCTTTTTCCACAACCTCTCCAGCATGTGTCGTCTCTTGAGTTTTTTATCTTAGTCATTCTGATGGGTGTAAGGTGAAATCTTAGGGTCTTTTTGATTTGCATTTCCCTGATGGCTAATGAGGTTGAGCATTTCTTTAAGCGTTTCTTTGCCATTCAATATTCCTCTATTGAGAATTCTCTGTTTAGCTCTGTACTCCATTTTTTAATTGGATTACTTGATTAGACATATAATATAGGATAAACCTACTAAAATCTGTACACCTAAAGAAACTAATCAAGAGCGAGGACTCCTGCTAAAATGCTCAATTCCTATCCAGAAAGGCAAAGAGGATGGACATCAGAAGAAGGAGAAAAGAGGGAACAAGTCAGAAGCCTGCCACAGAGGGCCTCTGAAAGGCTCTGCCCTGCAGACTATCAGTACAGATGCTGAGACTTATAGGCAACCTTTGGGCAGAGTGCAGGGAATCTTATGAAACAGTAAGATCTGGAGAGGACAGGAACTCCACAAGGAGAGCAACAGAACCAAAAAATCTGAGCACAGGGCCCTTTCCTGAGACTGATACTCCAACCAAGGACTATGCATGGAGATAACCTAAGACCCCTGAACAGATGTAGCCCATGGCAGTTCAGTATCCAAGTGGGGTTTCATTGTAATAGGAACAGTGACTGTCTCTGACATGAATTGATTGGTCTGCTCTTTAATTACCTCAGCCTGAGGGGAAGCAGCGTTACCAGGCCACAGAAGAAGACAATGCAGCCACTCCTGATGAGACCTAATAGACTAGGATCAGAAGGAAGGAAAAGGAGACCTCCCCAATCAGTGGACTTGGGGAGGGGCATGCGTGCAGAGGGTGGAGGAAGGGAGGGATTGGGAAGGGAGGAGGGAGGGAACCACAGGGGGGATACAAAGTGAATAAAGTCTAATTAATAAGAATTAAAAAAAAAAAGAGGGAGAGATTGCAAGGTCACAGAACAGTGACCTTTCTTGCCAACTCTGTTCCAGAGGGAGCCACAGGGGGAGCTGGACTTGGTTTCTAGGAGAGGTAGAGGGGCTACAAGGGGGTCTGTGATCTAAAGCATGTATTAAAAACATGTTGAAGGATTTACCCATGTATGAAAAAAATCAAATAAAGCTTATAACTGGAAGCTACATTTTTACAAGCCACGGAAGGAAAATAATGCTACTAATTTACACCAGTAGTTTTAAAATGTAAATTCTTGGTGTTGACCTGTGACTTAGGGATTTGAGGAAAACGAGAGGCTGTGGCCATTAGGGCTCAAGGCCAGGGACAGCTTCCAAGGATGTGACTTGGAAGCAGTCAGGCAGAAATATGTGACCTGGTAACCTTATGTTGGAGAGTCTACCCAGAGATAAACAACCAATGGCAGGCTTGGAGATGGTGAGGAGGAACCTGATTGGTCACCCAAAGTTATATAAACTGCTGTCTATTCTAGAATAAACGAGTCTGCAGCTGCTCGCCCTCAGATTGCTCACACCTGGCTCCAGGTGTCTGTGTGGTGACTCCCTGCCTCTCACCCCCTGACCTAGAACCCTTGGCCTCACCCAGGGGCTGGACCCTTGGGAGGAGGACCAACAAGAAGCCACTGAAATAACCTAGTAAAAAATGACCATCTCATGATCCAAGCTAATGGGAAAGAGGAAGGGGGAAGCAGCTGACATAGAAAATAACCACATATTCCCAGCCAGCAGAAATCTCTTCAAACCCTACCCCTGCTGGATGGTCATCTCAGCTGCTTTTCTGCACATCTACTTTTGTGATCTCAGCTTTTGAAATCAGGGTGGCACTTAGAATTTATTTGAAATTCTACTCACTTACATGTATATAGGAAAATAATTCTTTTTCTTGGAATACTTTTAAGATATGAACCATGCTTCAAAATGCACAGTACACAGGCTAAGCTACAGACACTTTTTGTCCAATAAAGCTCCTTGAAAAGAAAATGTTACCAACCATTAGATATTGAGGAAAAAAAAAAACAGGCTCTGATATGAAGCAGTGAGGCTCTTAGGGAACCATCTTGCTTGCTTTCGACTATTTCAAACAGAGGACATGAATTACAGGAAGGAAGTCTTCAACTGTTAGGAAGAAACGAGTCATGCCTTTCAGAAGTTTGTAAAATGCCAGCATTCTAAATTTCATACACTGAACTTAGGAAAGTCCAATATAGTACATAATATCTGTCACTTTTTATCCTTTTGGCAAAGACTTCAGAGAGACAAATGTTAGAGGCTTGAAAATGGAGACTTCTGAAAAAATGACCAAAGCCAGAAATAAAGCTGTACTAATTAGAAAACAAATAATTAAATGGCCAAACCCGAATGTTGTGTGATACTGAAAAGAGATAAATTTCTAAGGCATACCATCTGTTTTACAACTTTTTATTTTCCTGTACTACAAATCTACTCCATATATTTTTACAATGATTTTGCTGCTAACTCATTTGCACAATTCCTTTAGGCCAGAAATAATTACACCACAGAATCCCAGAAGAGATGAAAATAGTTACAAAAGAGGGCACATATAATACATTCTTGATTGAAAACTATGTTTTAGCCTTAAAGAAAAAGAATTGTTATTCAAAGAAACGATTTGAAACTGTCAAAGGAAAATTAGAAAATATAAAACCTGATATCATAATATACTTATGGTATCAAAACATATCTGGGCCTCTTCTAAATGTTGTAGCATTAAAAGCATATTGTGAAGTCTATTCTGTCTTTGTTTGCCTCCCAATTTATCTCTTTCGCCCAGTGGTTTAACATGGCATGTATGTACTTATCATTCTCCATTATAACTCCAGTTTCAGACCTATATCTATTTAGCTATTTAGCTATTTAGACCTATATCCGTTTATCGCAATAAATGGAACCACTGTTCAACCAGCTGTTGGAGCAAAATATAGATTTCATTCAGTATTCCTCCTATATCCTTATTATTCATGCAATCCATCATCAAATTCTGTGGTTCAAATTTCCTCATCCCACACCCCATCTCTCTCTTTTTCTTCATGCTCAAGATCAAACCCAGGGCACAATATTCAAGTACTCTACTGCTGAGCTATACCTATGACCTTTCATTCACATTTCTAAAACTTGTATCTCTCACGTGTATTTTTCTTCATTTTGTTGTTACTATGCTATCTAAACTGTCACCACCTCTCAGAAATGGTACCTCACTATTTACCAAATTATCTATCTCTAAGGCATTGCTCACCTAATGACTGGAATGACTTTTCAGACTATAACTACAATAATTTTCATATCAAATATAATTGTGTTTGTGTCCTTGGCACCTAAAATATACATATATATATATATATATATATATATATATATATATATATATATATATGTATATATATATACATATATATATATAGCTAAATATATACTTAATTTTAATGAATACTGTCAATAACTGTCTCATTTAGTGCTAGTAACTTCTAACATCAAGTCTCAGACTTTTCTTGAGAGCTCTAAGGACCTAACGACTTAGTAAATTGCTCACTCAAAGGAAATCCCTCAGTATTCAGTAATTCAGTGTTTACTGATAATTGTAATAACTAGAATTAGGCTTGCTTGCATATTTTAAAGTATCCTAGAGATGAAGGAAGTTTACTTTCTGCTGAAACAGAAAAGTCTAGAATGGGTTGGCATAGTGACTTTGTGAACTGTAAACCCCAGTGCCCTGTGTTTCATTGTTCTTTACCAGCACCAGTTTATAGTTCTGCTTTGTTGTTTAGCATGGCCACTCAATCAGCAGCCATCATGTCCCAGGTTACCAGGAAAAAGGAAAGAAAGGAAGAATGCCATGGCTACTCCATTTAGGAGGAGACTTTACACTTCCTTTACATCTCAATAGATAGTGACTAACAGAGAAAACTGGGAAATAAAGACACACAACTAGATAGCAATGGTTCCAGCTAAAGATTCAATGCAGCTTCACCCAAGTTCTGGCTCTGACTAGTTCTGTTCTGGGACCTGTCCTGACTGGGTGCAGGAATGCAGAGGCCAAAGGATCTGTGCCCAAGGTTTGTAGTCTAATGATGGTGAGCAACATGCAAACAAATGAAGACTAAAGATGTCAGTCCAGGAAATAAAGACATATCTAGAGACATGTTTTCCAAGGTTCCCCAAAGACTTTCAGTACTCAAAGAGCTGAGTGAGCCATAACTGGGTCTAGAACTTTACATCTGGAACCTGTCCTTCCTGCTTCACTCTGCATTGATTTCATAAGACATTTCTCAGTTCTGTTCTGCTGGACATGAAGCCTCCATGACAGAGAACAAACAAAGTTCATTTGAATGTCTATAAATACATCTGAGCAACTGTGGTGATAGTCGTAACCATTTGGGAATGCCCATTTCAGAAATGTGTCAAGACTCACTACTCCTTTTAAACTTGTCAGAAGATGGAACTAATTGACGATTTTAAGACTACAAGACTAAAAAACGAGTGATGTCAGAAAAAGGGTTTTTTTTGTTGTTTTTTTTTTTTAAGGAGTGTCATAACTTACTGTCAACCACTGGCTATCTAGAAGTTCCTTAGCTGTGATTCTGTGAGCAGGATCTACTTTCAGGAGTTGTTTCAAAACATTTTTTGCTGCAAATAAAGGGGAAAAAAACCTTGAAATCTTACATCTCTTGACCTCAGTTAACGTCATACACATCAGCTGGTCATGGTGACACAGGCTGGTAGTCCCAGCATCTTGAGAGGCTGAGACAAGAGGATTGAGTCCAAAATTTTGAGATGAGCCAAAAAATTGAGACAACTCAGAGAGACAGACACCCCAACACCACTACCAAAAACAAGGCAAAACAAAAGTTACACATTTTCCCATTTACTGAGGTTATTGTTGCATAATAAAAAGGGTGCCAAGTATCACCAATACAATGACCTAATAAGTAAGGTTGAATGCCTTTTATTGCTGGATTGCCTAAATCAATGATCTACAGGGAAAGCTGAGTACACAACAGCAAGTTTTCTCTTTAATTTTGTAATTGATATTTTTTGTTTTGCTTTGTTTTATTTTCTAGAATTTTGACCATGAACAATCACAGTGAAGATACCACTATTTCCACAAGCAAATACTGTTTAATTCTAAAGTAAATTTTAGTAGTAGACTACTCAGAGGTTTACAGCAGTTTTAGTAGTGGCAAATTCCCTTATATTAATTATCTGTTTTGGTAAATAATAACAAACCCATACTCACCAGAGTCACTTATGGAATCCCAGATTGGATCTTCAAATCTCAGCTCTCCCTTCCTTATTAATTCAAAGAGCTTTTCTTCTGAATTTGCCAAAAAGGGTGGTTCTCCACACAGTCTAAAGAAAGGCAGTCATTTTGTTCAAATGTTTTCAACATAAGACTATTAAAATTAACTTTCTGTAAGACTTGGAAGCAGTGATGCTTTAGGTAAGGGGAGGAGAATTACAAAGGGGAGGAGAGAGAACTGCTGGCTGGATTGTAGAAGCAATGGGACAGTCCAAGCTCAGTGCTGGGCTCAGCTCAATCCGAGAGAAATGACATGATAGAGGAAGTACACTGAGACCTCAGATCTGTAGGTGTCTGAGGCTTCTGCAAGTTGGGGAGACACTAGGATTAAGGAGTTAGAGTACAGGAAGGTGTGTGGGGGTGAGGGCACAGAACAGTGGCATGAGCAAGGAGAGGCGGCCGCTTAAAATTCTGAATTATGGAAGCATGGTGGTGAGGGGTATCAGAGACTGCCGAAACTCATCAGAGTTTAGTGGCCATGCAAGATTTTGTCTGTGGTAAATACTATATCAAATGTTAGCAATGGGAACATAAAAGAAAACTAAAGAATAACCCTGGAAATTGCTGTAGGTTCTGAGCCAAAGCTGAAAGCAATTAAGACAGGCACAGGTCTTCAACAATAGTATTCTTTTTTTCCCAGCATGACCATCACATTTTTATTATTTTTTAATATAATTTTTTATTTATTACACTTTATTCACTTTGTATCCCAGCTGTAGCCCTACCCTCCTCCCCTACCAGTCCCATTCCTCCCTCCCTCATCTCCTCCCATGCCCCTCCCCCAGTCCACTAACAGGGGAGGACCTCCTCCCCTTCCCTCTGACCCTAGACTATCAGGCTCATTGGGACTGTCTTTCATAGTCTTCTTCTGTGACCTGGTAAGGCTGCTGCCTCCTCAGGGGGAGGTGATCAAAGAGCCTTCTACTGGGTTCATGTCAGAGACAGCCCCTTCAACAATAGTATTTAAAAGAAGAAAATCAAGATGAAAATCATCAGTGAGAAAGGATGGATGCCGGGTAAACGAGGACAGCCTAAGGACTGTGGGTGAAGTAAGCATGGCCTTGTCTGCATCTATAACACAAGGACTATTTGATTAGCTTCTTTTCGACAGAGACTGGGGCAAGCCAACCAAGCTGTTTCCATTAGCTGTTCTAGGCCAGAACTGTAACAGTATACTTCCAAATTGAATTCAGTGCCTCAGAGGATATTCTCAGTAAATGTTATCATAGTCTTCATCCACAACCCCGACATCTAAGGACACCCCTGAAGACAACTTGGCAGATATGCCCAGGGACACCCTGGCAGAAGGCAGCACAGCAAAGGCAACTTGGCATGTCAAGGACTCAACTCTCAGGCACAGACCTTCCACCTTCACCAAAAACCAAAACAGCATTACTCCATTATACCTACCAAGGTGCGGTCTATTCCCAATCTAACAAAGCCTGAGTCTTTTACGCTTTGTGTCTTTATGGTTTTCTTCAGTTATATTTTCTAAGCTTTATTTTAAAAATATGATTGTAAATATTTTCTGATCAAGCTAAATTTTGGTAATTTTCATGATGATTAATATGAAGAAACTTTCCCAGAAGTGAGGGACTGAGGCGTGGAACTTCTGCAAGAGCTTCTTGTTAGGGAATCTGAAGTCGTCAAGCTGTTGTACAAATTCTTACTTTAATACTTTGTATTTCTCAAGCTCATTCTGACACTTCTTTATTCTTACTTGCTTTACTATGGCTTAGTTTTAAAATGGTATTTTAAAAGCCATAGAACACACACAAAAAGAAAATAACCAGAGGAATGGTTGTATGGACAATTACTATCTATTATAACAAGTACAGGCCAGTGAAGGCCCAGCTCATTGAGCCTGTTATCAAGCAGTGATATGCATGGTCCCCAATTTCTTTGCAGCCTCTGCATGCAACTATAGCTTAAGGGCTACATTTTAAATTTTCCACTTTTTCCCCTTCCTTTGCAATTTTATTTACGCAAAATGTATCTAATGGTTGGTCAATCAGCAGCATATGGAACTTTATGACAGCAATTTCCTAGCACATCCAGAAAAGAAAATCCAAGACGTGAAAAATGAATGCTTCTTGAAGCTTTCTATTAAAGCTTTTCTGTGGCATTCACAGGAGTCAGGACAGCAGAGGAAAGGAACCATAAAGGCTATTCATTTATGCTAATTTCACCTTGAGTAAGTATGTTATCATTGCCCAACTAAGTAGAAATGAATCTAAGTTAACTGATAAACAAGGAAATTGCCCTCATGGAGAATGTAATGTATTGTGCTCAGGGTAAAGGGAATTATCTATAATGCCACCAGGCTCAAACAGATTAATGAGTAGGCACCAGTGAGCTACGTTAGAATCTTCTGTGAAGAAAGGAAGACGCCATTACTAAGAAGCCACACTCTGGAGAACAAATATTCAAACTACATATTTAAGAAAGAGGAAAAAATGAAAGGTATGTAATACACTTGATTTCCTTAACAGCAAGTTCAAAAGGCAGCAAACACTGTACAAGTTGTGTGATGATCCATTATGTACATTAATATGGATTTTTATTGTGTAGACAGTCTTAAGATTATGGAAAATACATTTAAATAGTTACATTTTAATTAAGGACTAAACTCTGGATTTTTGCATCATGATTCTAATGGGCACAATGCAGTGATCAAAGCTTTATGAATCCACCCACAGCTCATGCTGTCTCCGCAGGGATGCATGTGGACCAACCAGGAACAGCTGCAGTCACACAATCTGGCTTCTCCTGCCTGTGTCTTCCATTTCACACAACTGTGGAAATGTAACTACAGTGATGTTAGTATGGAAGAGGTGGTGGCAAATTTTCCAACATGACCACAAAACTAATGTTGCATCAGCATTAAAGTGTTCAGATTCACTGAAAGACAGAGCAGTGGTCACTGACTTTTCAGAACACCTCTTAGACAATTCACTTAATTCAATTTAACAAGTGTATTGAGCACTGAATATGAGCTGAGTATTGCATCAAATGCTAGAGATGCAAAGATGAATAATTTGAACTGTTTTTCACAGAACTTAAAACAAGGAAAACAGATACAATAAAAAGAAAATTGTAATATTACCATGTAATTTAGTTTTTAAAAGTATTATTGTTTTTATATCACAATGTGTGCTATCAAAGACACACATGTGCAAACAAACCTTACTGCTTCAATATTTCTATATTAGTATTGTTGTTACATTGAGACAGGGTCTCATGTAGCCCAGGCTAGCCCGGAACAGATTATGTAGCCAAAAGTAATTCTGTAGTCCTGCTGCCTCCATTCCCCCAGTGCTGAAACTGCAGGCAAGGACCACTACACTTGGTATATACAATGAGAGGAATCAAACCAGGGGTTCCTGGGCGCTGGGCAGCACCTTACCAACTGAACTAACATCCCAGACATATGTTGTTGTTGTTTTAATTTGCATGGTTTTTTGAATGAGGCCTTAAATCCTATGTGGAATGCAGAAAGTTTATACATAATAAATGTATATCTGCTGTGGTAAGGTAAGGGTTAGCAAAACAGAAGGCTTTAGTGTTTGGCCCACCTAGGAGAAAACTTCAGAGAAGAAAAGAGTGTGCGCTCATGACACACACATGTGTGCATGCACACATAAGCACACACACAACATGCAATGCAGCGTGCAGGGAATTAAGAGTAGCCTGGAGTCATCACAAAAAAGGTAGGCATATAAAATATACATGCACCCCAAGATTGGAAAAACAAGCTAGAGTTAAGTTGTAAACAGTTTGCTAAGACACACCATGTTAAATGTCCTCATAGCTTTCTAAAGCAAGAAGTAACCATTGAAGGCTTTAGTGCGGAAAGAGTGTGATACAGACAGACAACCTTGAGAGCAGAGTAAACAGCAGATGAAGTGGAGGATAAACAGAAGCAGGTAAGACAGCCAGAGAGATGAAATCATACGGTCAAAGAGAGATGAAGATGTTCTCAGTATGCATAGGTGAGAACATGTCACAGGCAAACTCTTCAGGACTTAGGATTGGCTTAATCATGAGAGCAAGGGTAAAGGAAGAGCAAGAATCGCTGAGGCTTTTGGGGTGTTAAGGGAACTGATAAATACAAAACACTCCCTAAATCCTGAACTTCTACCTAACTGTGCCCACTCCCCAGTGTGCTAGCAACTCTAGGGCCAGATGGCCCTACTTCCCATTCTGATGGACTAGAGGTGAAGCTCTAAGCTGTGGCAAGTGACCAGGGAGGACATATTTTCACTTATCTTGGATCATGTGGGACATGGCTGCATCTGTAGATCGGCACAAAGCAAAACTGAACATTGTGAAAGTATAGCATAAACAAATACTTAGGACGTGACCCTGAAAACTAGTGAGAGGGCACCCAGGACAACATCTCAACTGGATTTTAAATGACTCCTTTTAAAACATATTGCTTAGTTTTAATTTAAATCTATGTCAGTCTACTGACAAAGACTTCCCTTTTATTTACACTGGACATTCAGTAAACTACTTACAAGATGTACATTATGACACCTATGCTCCAAATGTCGCACTGCTGGCTATAGTCGTGAGCATTGATAACCTCTGGTGCTGCCAAATAAGCACAAATAAAATAATATTAATAATATAACAAATAACTCTTAAATGCTTAAACACGAAGCATGAAAAATTTGCTGATATGTTGTAACATATTCTTCCAGAGGGGAAAAAAAAGAGCCAACAGCAGATGCTGAATGAATAATGTACATGCCTTCCAACTGATGTCACCAAATCCTCACTCCTATCAATTAGCTCCTAATGGGATGACAGCATAAACTGCATCACTATGTGCAGCTCTTTATTCCTGTGAAATGACTAAGTGATTTTACAAAGGTTGGATAGTTACAATAGAAGACAATAATTTCTTAGACCCTCCCCAAATAGAAGGAAACACACAACTTTAGTAAATATTATTTAAATCAAGACCAATATGCACAAATCTGAACTCAAATCACTTCAGCAGCATCAAATGATAATGGTTATAATACCATAGAACTCTCATGACAGAATATATAGTTCTCCCCCATGTTCTAAGTAAGAAAACTGAGATAACACCAAGGAGTGCCAGTGCAGGATGGGGCTAAGTATATGTGCCTCAGTTCTGTGCGCTCTGCTTAACAAAGGTGTTCACAACAGGCTTCCTTCAAACAGCCTCTCAAAGCTTCACCTTTAACCCTAAGATGGCACTTGCTTCAAAGATGAGGTTGTAGGATTTTGCTTTATAGTTGCTGGCTTTTTAAAAAGTCAGGATGATACTGAGGAATAGGTGTACTTTACTTTTACATATGGATATCTTTCTTTAAAAAAAAAAAAGTCACAAATACAAAAATAAGACCAACGTACAGTGTATAGATTTCAAAAGAACATTAAATTTTATAAAGTGTTTTTACATAATAAATTGTGCTAGAAATCCTATGAGCCAGTCATGCGGCGTTTGATGCCCTCTGTCAATGAAGGTGGAAAACATTAAGACTTGACTGCAGCTGCACACTACAATGTGTTTCCTATGGGAAAGCTGTGTGCTTATTGAGAAAGCACTCCCAGTTGTCTCCACGAAATCACTGGCTATGTGCTTGCATGCCACACACACACACACACACACACACACACACACACACACACACTTTTTTTTCACTAGGCAGGATTTCTCTATGTAGCCCTGGCTGTCCTGGAATTTGCTCTGTAGAACAGGCTGGCTTCAAATTCAAAGATCCCCCTGCCTCTGCCTCCTGAGTGCTGTGTTTAAAGGCATGCACCACCACTGGCCGGCTGACACACACATGCTTTTATAACAACTACTAAAAGCAAAGAGAATTTTAATTTTCCTGCCCTCTATGATTAAATGAATGGAAAACAACAAAAATAAACCAAAACAAACAAACAAAAAAGAGAGAATGAGAAAAGGCTAAACTATACTAGTTCACAAGTTGAACAATTTGACCCCAAATAATTGAAAATTTACAGCATTTCTCCTTTAACAACTACTGCATGTGCTTGGGCTCGAAGTGCGTGTGAAGTTTTAAATGCAAAGCCAGCAAAGCATCAGTTGTTCCATGGCCGTGCATCTTTCATGAAGGCAGATTCTGAGGTGCGATTCAGTGGAGGCTGCTGTACTGCTGCGCCACACAGCAGGGACCTAGGACTCCTGGCCTCCACTTTTTCAGTCATCCTAATTATCAGGGGCATTTCTACTTTCACTGTCATCCCAGCCCTCAGGGAGGCAGAAGCCAAAATATCTGTGCCAAGGAGCCATTTAGGAAGTCAGCAAAGCTCCACAAACCATCTGTCTTCCCTCTTGTTTTCTCACTTGTTATCAGTGTAGACAACTAATAAGCAGGCATAAAACTCAGGGTGCTTGGATATATTTTCCCTATGTAACTATAGACCAGATGTCTTTTGCCAATGGGAGGATATGAACAGAATCTAAAGTAGCCTTTTCCCAAGTAAGATAAAACAATTTAAAAACTTTATGCATCAAGTAGGCAAAAACAGCAATGAATGAAGTATACTTTTCAGCAATAAAAACAGATAAACTACTGATACAACAGCATGCATAAAATAGCAAAATCGTTCTGTGGAACAGGAGACACAAATGAGTAACACTATATGATTCAAGTACAACTGAGTTTGGTGATGGAAAGCACTGGTAATTGCTGGGACATGAGAGGGGAAAATTGATGGAAAGAGACATGATAACAAAAGTGCTATGGACTCACGAATCAGAGCTCACTATGTAGCCTATGGCAATCCTCCTGCCTCAGCCTCCTGAATGGTGAGATTATATGTGTTGGCTACCACACCTTCTTGGTGTTCTAATTTTTTTCAAGTGTCCTCACTTACCCATATAGATGGGAGTGCCACATGTGGTCTGCATCATGCCTTCGCTCCTGGAGCCATGCTTCCTCACCGCTAAGCCAAAGTCACTCACCTAAGAGCAGATACACAGGCTCATTCACCCAGTGACTATCCACTGTAACTGCAATTAATCCTCACTTTCTGGAGATGGAATTTTTCTTGTTATTACCAATAAAGACTTCACTTTTCCCCTCTGTGCATCCTCTCTGGGTGCAGAGGAAACTTGATAGAGACAGCCCATTATATTGACCATTCATACCTTTCGTTAACTCTTTTTGAGTAAGTTCTTATTGCAAAATACAACCTCGCCTTAGAATGTGTTATCTATTTTTCTGATAGTGGAGTTATGGCCCCCTGAAAGCACCATTTAAATACAAATAATTATCCTTATCAACACTCACTCAGACTCTTTTTAATATATATAACTAGTAAATACTTATTTTTCATTACTATTATTTCCTTTGTGAGTATAGTGTATACTAATTAAAACATTACACTATTCAAAATGAAGCAAATTAGCAAGGAGAAAAAGGCCCACTCCAACACTCCTCTGTGAAAAAGGCACTCCTCTGTGCCTGGCCACAGAGGAGCTGAAAGCCTTTTGCTACAACTTCAGTCTCCTGCTCCACAGTAAATTTTGGTAATTATACCTTCAGTTACTATTTGGCATGTACCCTTGATTATCTCTCAAAATGGAATCCCCTTGGACCCAAAGCAGAAACACAGGCACATTTATGGATCATCCAAGCAAAGTATAGGTTCTTTGCTCACACTAAATGCAGCACCTTACAATGTATAAGGAAATGTTTTTAATTAAAAACATTTGAGACATGATCTTTCTCTGCAGCCCAGGCCAACCATATAGCCACACTTGCCTTAAACTCATGGCAACCCTCCTGTTTTGGCCTCTCATGATGCATATTGGGAATACAAGTGTGCATCAGCATGCCTTGAATCAGTTACTCCAAGGGTACACATAAACGTCCCACTTGGATGTAACATCTATCCTCCACAGAATATTTCTACAGATACAAACTATATTAAAGCCTTCATGATGTCGTTCTATTATTTGGAGAGCACTGAGTCTCTTGTTTACCAAAGTTAATGGAGCATATTCGGTCTTAGGCACTCCTCACAATCCAACAAGGAATAAAATGGGAGAAGTTCCTGCCTACATGGAGTTTACAGTAAAATGATGAAGAACATTCCCCGAGGGACACCAGCAGGGTTGCTGAGTCTGTTTATACTGCACACAGATTTTGCTTCTGCAACAGCAACTTACAGACACATTTGATTCTAAAGTTAACACTTGCCCACATTTTGAAAGCAGCCACTATTAAAGTGCTAAGTAATAAATAATGTATTCTATCATTTATTTGACATTAAGGAATACTTAATTTGAATAAAATCTTCAAGAATAAACACTTGGCACATTAATTGTGGTTAAGACATAAATATTAATACCCAGGAAAAATTTCAATGAGAAATACAGACTGTGGCATTAATTTAGTATCAAAAGCACAGCCAAGGTGTGTTTTTCTCTAAATCTGTAATGCATTTACATCAAATTACCAGACATAATTTTGAAATTAATTAAAATTCAGAGCATCTGTTTGCTTGCTATTAACTAATGATTTAGAACTATCTGAAGGAACATGTACTTTGGAAAAAACATTCAGTAGTATCATTTAGCTTGTAAAATTATTTTCATCAGTTACAACTTTTGTGAATTTTTTAACATCTTACACAGATGGCTTAGATTCAAAAGTCACCAAGATGTGTCTACGATGTCTATAGCTGCTCTGTTGCTGGTCGTTTTCAGGGAAACATTGAGTAGTGTCTCTAGGGTCTTACCTTTATGCTTAAGTTCATTTCATTGTTATCATCCATAAAGCTGCTTTTAACCATTATGTTTTCCAGCTTTAGATCTCTGTGCACTATATCTACCAAGAAAACAGACAAGCAAAGTGAATAACAGAAGAATCCAGAGGACACAAAAAGGACAGATAAGTACCAGCGTGAGTGTAATACTTCTCTGTTCTGTTTTTACCTACACCCCTCTTCTCCACACCTCTATTAGAAGCCATTGTCTCATCTCTGCATGTTCCCTATTGTGCCAACCTAGTGTTTCAGCCTGGTCAATGCAGAAGGGGATCTGTCCAGGGCTGTATATTCCCAGGAGAACGAAGGCAGTCTGGGTGACAACACAGGCCCAGGAAGGTTTTCTGTGACCTTAGGTCTCTAAATAGGTGATTAGGCTTATGTATAATGTTACTGTCAGCATAAACATTTTAACACATTGTAACATGACTGCATGTTATGCAAAAACTTATTTCAGTGTATTTTTCTAAAATATCAGCATATATTTTCCTAATGTTCATAGGTTAAAATAAAAAACACAAATCTTGGGACACAAATCTTTAGCTGAACAGGTCAGAGTTGAAGTGAGATTTCTATGTGCATTGAAATAATATATCAAGGAGGACCTCCCCTATCAGTGGACTTGGGGAGGGGCATGCATGAAGAAGGGAGAGGGAGGGTGGGATCAGTAGGGGAGGAGGGAGGGACTTATGGGGGGATACAAAGTGAATAAAGTATAATTAATAATAAATAAATAAATAAATAAATAAATAAATAAATAAATAAATAAATAAAAAGAAATAATATATCAAACCTTCCTCTGCAAATAACTGAGTTCACATCCACAACAAACATTTCTCAAGTTGTAGAAAGTTAAGTGAATAATGTTTAGAGAATGTAGCTGAACTAGATCTGGACTAGCAAGTGCAACTGATAACTGACAGTTCTCATATATAACCAGGCTTTGGCTTTGGAAGCCTAATTGATCCTGTTATTCTATCAGACTCTACTTACATAAATACCATACCATTTTAATTAATGTATTTTTATGATATGTTTTTATCCCTTAATGGGGCATTTTTTATCCTTGATGGTTATTCTCATCCTTTTTAGAACTAACTAAAAAATGCTGTTAGTTTTATAGAAATATACTGGGAAAATGTATCACTTGACAAGGGCATGGCATTCAGCCTCTAAGAGCCTTTCCTCACATGAAGTCATTCTCTTTTGTTTGAGTCTGTATTCCTCAAATCCAATTCTGACACACCCTGCACTTTACACAGCTCTTCATTAAAAATTGCCTCACTGGCTTACAAGCTGTTTTCCATTCTCTATCTGTCAGTAGCCTAAGCAACTGGAGGTGTAGGGGCCTTAAATCTTTCATCTTTGTAACTCTGGTGCTGAGCGCAACACGGTAGGTGCTGAGGAAGCTGAGCTCCGAAAACCTGTCACTGACCTTTGTGAGCTAAATACTTTCTCATCTGTAAAGTGAGAACATTCCAGAGCCACACCTAAGAACCTCAAAGAAGAGAGTAGCATGGGACAAAGTGGCAGCCGTAACACTGGAGACAACAAAGCTATTTGGATAATGTTACTAAACATTTGTCAATATGTATAGTATAAAATAAGCATAGAATGAAACATAGCAACAAACGAATCCTAATGTAAACTATACAGTTCAGGGGACCATAATGTAGTCACTCTGCAATGTGGCACCAGGGTGCACACTGGAAACTTCTGCCTGTTCTGTTTTGAGCCCAAGCTGCTCTAAAACTGAAGTGTACTATTTTATGAGCTAGAACATACACATTTTAAAATATTAGTATACAAACATTTTAGGAAAATTCACTTTGATTTTGATTTATCTACTTTAATTTTTATCACATTAGCCAGTTTTAAACTTCTAGAATAAGAATGTTCATGACTGTTTGCTTTTCAAGGACAGTGTAATTATATGCCTGCATCGTTGCTAATTAAAATGTCTCTAAATACAATTAAAGGAAGACATGGAAAATGTACTTGTTATCTGCTTACATTACCAAGTTCTACCACTGTGATTATGAGTTCTAAGGACCATCCCCCTTAAACAACATTGACATATTCATTTATGGAGATGGTGAGGTCCATAGTCCCCTTCTTACCCTTGTTATGAAGATATGCGATGGCTGATGCAAGACTTTGAATTATCTGCCTTGTCTCGTTCTCTGAGAAGTGCCCTCTTTTACCCAGAACTTCTTTGAGTGCTCCATCCTCACAAAGCTCCATCACAAGGTACATTTTCTGACATTACATATTTAAAAGGCAGAACAAGAGAGTTATGAAATTATATGTGTTATACATCACAAGTATGATCACAATCTTAATTTATTAATGTGAAAATGTCTTATCTACTATATACAAGCCATTGTGCTAAATACAAGAGGAACAAAGGGGAAGGAGACACAGTGCTGACCTTGGGAAGCTCAGCAGAGTTACGAGAGCATGTGGCATGTACTAACAGAAAACAGAGCTCGAAGACAGGCAGCCACTGCATACAGAATGCTCACCAACAAGAGTTCAGACAGAACGTGCAAACTCACTTCTGGCCAGGGAAGGTGAAAGAAAACCAGCAGAGCTGGCAGGCAGCATGCAAAGCCCCTAAAGCTTGTAACAAAACAGTCACTAAAGTAACACAAAAATCAGTGTTAACAGTACTGGAAGCTGTGAGGTAGGGAAGAGGAAGTTGATGAAGGTGGAAGCTAAAAGGGAAAAGTTGGAACAAGTCTATAAAGAGCCTTGGATAGCATGCTCGAGACTATGGATTCTCCAAGCCTCTATGAAACAAAGCGCTGGAGGTGTTTAAGTCAGAGTTTCAAGGTGAAAGTTGTATAATGTTGATTTTGCATTTCTAGGTGAACAACAGTCATGTACAACAGGGCTCAGCAAATTTTTTCTATAAAGACCAAACCCAAGAGTCAACCTTACAGTCTCTGTGGGTGACATCGTCTCTTTTACAACAACACAGCTCAGCACCTGCCTTGACATCAGCCATTAACAATACAATACTGTACTTACAGACTCAGAATCTGAGTTTGGTGCAATTTTAATGTTATAAAATATTAATCTTTTAAATTTTGTCATTGATTTGGAAATGTACAAAATTTATCTTATGGGCCCTATAGAAACTATAAGCAGGTCAGACTGAGCTCACAGGCTGTACCTGCTAACAGGGAGAATCTGTGAGGCACAGACTGAACACAAGAAAGGGGTGGGTTTCTGTTGTGAGAAACTATCCTGACAAAGATTATTTAAGGAAGATAGGGTGTATTCTAGTTCACAATTCAAGGTACAGTCTATTATGATGGAAAAGCCACAGCAGCAGAATCTTGAGGTGACCAATCACATTGTATTTATAGTCAAGAAGCAGAAAACAATAAAAGCTAGCACTCAGCTTGCTTTCTCCTTTTCAAAATGATTTAAAATTTTTAAATTGAAATGTGTGTTGCTTGGTGTGTTTTTGTATGCTCCAGCACATCTATGGAAATCAAAGGATAATTTTTTGGTTCTCTTCTACCATGTAGATCTAACTCATGTTATTAGGCTTGGAAGTAAGCACCTTTGCCCATCAAGCCTTCTCAATAGTCCCTACTTCCCCTTTTTATTTGGTCTGAGACCCCCCCCCAGCTCATAAAATAATGCTGCCCATAGTGGGAGGGTCTTCCAACTTCAATTAAAAGACTCATTTAATCTAGATAAACCCTCACAAGTGTGCCAGAGGTTTGTCTACTAGGTGATTCTAGACTCTTATCAAGTTTATATTAGCCATCACAGCATAAAGAAAAATATATGAGAAGTAGCAAAGAATACACAGTGGGATTCAGTGGCTAAGTGGGTACCAGTGACAAGGAAGCAAGGATGATGCCTCTTCTGTGTCTGTCATTTCTTTTGAGGCATATTAAGATGTCTTTAGATATCCCACAACAAAGCCACTTACTGAGTCAAAGATTTCTATTCAACTAAAAGGCGTGCCTTTTCTATAGGCACTGCCATCAGACACAATTACCCTCCATGTTTCTATTCTAACACATATTCTAGAGTTCTGTTGCTCTGAAGATTTGGCAGTCTGATTCTGTTCTCCTAACAGCTGCTAATCCAACTTCTGTGTTCAGCTGCTAATCCAACTTCTGTAAAGCGAGAAGAGAAGTAAATATCTTTCTTCCTAGAGCCACAGTTCTGATTCACTGAATTTCAGCTGCTTTAGGATTTCAAAGTGTCTGAGACATCTGACAAATAAGTTTTTGAACTGGGGTATTTTTTTTTCATTGACAATGCTACAGGGTGGCTAGGAACATGAAAGCATGAGTGAAATATTTAGAAAGAAAAGTTGCATTAGCAGTAGTTACAATATAAATTGACAACCGTTTTTAAAATTCATGAGGGGTTGGACAGATGACTCAGTTCTTAAAAGCACTGACTACTCTCTTCCAGAAGACCCAGGTTCCAGTCCCAGAGCCCACATGAGAGCTCACAGGCTTCTCTAACTCTAGTTCTAGAATCCATTGCCCTCTTCTGGCTGCCGAGGGTGCTACATACATGTCATACACAGACACATAAAATACAAAAATATCTTTAAAAAACGTTAAATGTGTGTTGATCAAAGTTATAATGATAGAGTGTATTACCCAAGTCTTTTACACTTATTGGAAACTAGTGTACATATCTAGAGCACAGTTAGACTTATAAGAAACCACTGCACAGTCTGAGTGGTTGATTAGCAGTATACAACCAATTAGACATCCATTTCCTTAGATTAGTTTCAGTGGAAAGTCTAGACATGTGTGTGTTTATGGGTAGACCTGGTTCATTTGAATCAAAATCAAGCAAGGCAGAAAAAAAGAGAACCACAGATGAACATTTCTCTTGCCTTCAAACACTTATATTTGGGCTCCTGTTTGTATACAAGGTAGGGTAATAGACTAGTTTGCCCCTCTACTTAAATAAGTTAAGAACTGGGAATTTTTATAAAACAATTAATTTTCAGGCAGTAGACACTAGTATGAACACAGTAGTATTCTCTGAGAAAGAGAAACCCATGAGGACAAGCTCCTGATTGTCTTAGCCTCTGAAAAGTTGCCACACCCCAGGGCAAGAAGAGGTGTCAATCAGAGATAACCGCATGAAAAGGATATCTGTGGAATTCCATGGCATCATAGGGCCTTCAGAGCACAGCAGCAATGATGGGGAGGAAGCTGCTTGGAATTACCAAAGCCAACTGTGAGGCCTACAAGAGTACATGTTGGAGAACTTGCAGATCCAGTAGCCTCCATAAATTCAAGAGCTGGGAGTCCAGAAAAGCCAAGTCAAATAAAGTTTCTAGGGAAAAATATCAGAGAGGAAAATTCTGTATACTAACACACACAGAGAGAGAGAGAGACAGAGAGACAGAGAGACAGAGACAGAGACAGAGAGAGATTCTTCCTCTAATCTTCAGCAGAGTTATAGTCAGCATGTGCTTTGTTGCAAAGCTGGGGAACTAACCATGTGAAAGCGAAAGAGGGCAGCACTGAAGCTCATGCTCGTTCTGTGTTTTCATTAGCCAGAGTGAGAAATCTCCTAATTCATGTTGCACTGGAGACAGTGTGAGGATTCAAAAGGCAGCCCCTCAGTGGAAGGGGAAAACTAGTTCTAGAGAGGATACTCTGTTGCCCCTCTCAAAGAATAAATCAAGCACCAAAGGCATCACTAAATTAATGCTTCTAACTCACTCACTACATCATAATGTAAAGTTCAAGAGCTGTTGTTGTGGCACATGCCTATCATCCCAGCCACTGGGAGCTTGGCAGAAGGTTCACTAATTCCAGGGTTATCTAAGACCAATTCAGATCTCCTCAAAATAGTTATAAGAATATAAAATCTAGGACCTAAAACGGTAAATTTTACAATATCTGACAGCCAGGTATGGTAGTGCACACCTGAAATTCTAGCACTTGAGAGCTGAGGCTGGAGCTTCACAAGTTCCAGACCAGCCTTGCCTATGGAGAACTTCCAGACCATCCTGGCCTATATTGTAAGACCTTGTATTAAAAGACAAAAATAAGTAAATAAATATACAAGCAACAGACATACAAAGCAGGAAAATATAACCCAGAATGACAGAGTGAAGGCCCATCAAATCTGAACTAACAAAGACATACACGATACAATTAGTAGAAAAAGGAGTTTACATAATTAGCTCCTATCACTATATTTATTTTTTTATTTGTTATATTCTTTTTTATTTTTTATTTTTCTTTATTAATTACACTTTACTCACTTTGTATCCCCCCCCGTGTTTCCCTCCCTCCTCCTATTCCAATCCCTCCCTTCCTCCACCCTCTGCCCTATCACTGTATTTATGAAGCAGGGAACACTGAGTATGTTAAGGGTCATGTGTTGAATATGCATATGAAGGAAATAAAATTTCCAACAGGAAAATATTATAGAACATTACAAGTTATTTTTAAAAAATAGTGAATTTCAAGTCACAGTAAAATACAATCACACAGAGTGAACACAGAAAAATGATGAAAAAAGAGCAGAATAGCAGTGGACTTGAATAGTATCAAGCAACCTAGCAGATGTACTAAGTCCTTCAGAGTGGGTAAATAAAATAAGTACTTGAAATAATTACCAAAATTTTCCTAAATTAGGTAAAAATCAAACTCACAGACCCAAGAAGTTCCATGAACCCCATGCACAGGAAACATGAAGAGTTTATCAAGATTCATCAAAATCAAAGTAAAACTGATGGGTAAGAGGCTGGAAAGATGAGTCCATGCTTAAGAGCACTTGTTACTACTGCAGAGGACCTGGCTTCGATTCCTAGCATCCATGTGGTGGCTCACAGCTGTCTTCCCCAGACCCAGCCAATCTATAGCCCTCTTCTGCCTTCTCAAGCACAAGGCATGCACAAGAAACACAGACATACATGCAAATAAAGCATTCATGGAAATAAATAAAATTTTTAAAACTGATGATAAAGAACAGAGTTATTCAATATATATTTGGAGATAAAAGAAATCACAATTCAGAGATGGAGGTGTAGCTCAGTGGCAGAAGCAGAGCATCATCTTGACCTTCAGGATCATCAAAAAGGATAACTGTCGTCCTGTAGCCAAGCACTTGCAGTTAATGAAATGCAATGTGTAACCTGAACTGACTCTTAGTGGCTACTTTTGCGTCTGGCAAAGAAAATGAACAGTAGCTAACATCTGATGAGATGGGTGCATTATAGCCACAGTCTCATTAATCTTTATTTCTTCAATAACCAGATGAGTCATCACTTCACAGGTGAGACAGTAACACAGAGAGAAGTTGAGAGACTTGGTCATGTTCTCATGGATAACAAGTAATGGAATCAGATTTAAAGAAACGTGTCATCTGCCCACATGCCAAACCACACAGTATATTGTTTCCAGGTAGTAGAAGTGATGTCCAAGTTCATGCACTAAAAAACAAAACAAAACAAAAAACCTACAGGCAGTTAAGATTGGAGAGTGATAATATCTGAGAAAGAATAAAGACAAAACACACTGGAAAGACAAAGATAAGAACTTGTTTTGCTGGGTGCAGTTGATAGAGCCCTGGGAGGGCTGCTCTTTTCTGAAGGGAAGTGGAGGAAAGGTGGATATGGGAGAGAAGGGAAGCGAGAGAGACGGAGAGAAGTGGAGGGTGGGGAAACTGCACTCAGGATATATTTCTTGTATGAGAGAAGAATAAATTTTTAAAAAATATATTTTCTATAAGCCTTGTCAATTTGATCATGACACTAACCTTGCAAAATCATGACAATAATCAAATGGTCTTTAGTAGAGAGACTAAGAGCAAATGCAAAAGGATGCCATCCCTGAGGAAGCTCTACTCGCTATTTGATTTGCATGAAGCTATTCTAATCTTAAACATTTGTTTCTAATGTGCCACCCAGAACATGGAACTAAAGACATCAATCTAATCATTACACACCTAATTATACAATCAATAATAAAAGTCCTTCAGAATGTTCTCATCAATCTCTAGTGACAGACTTCTGCCAAGGACATGAGCAACTGTGCCCCAGAGGGCTACTTCAGAATGGAATGATATTCATTTTGTAATAATAACAACCTTCAAACTGGAGCACCTGGTGGAACGTTACCTGAGGCGTCTCAAACACTTGTTCCAGGTGGATGATGTGTTTGTGTTTGACACTCTTCAGGATGTTCACCTCCCGTTCAAGTAACTTCACCGCAGAGCTTCCAGCCTTAATCAATGAAGAAACATATTGCTTATGGGAATGCCACTCCTACTTTCCTCAATATAAGTTAGCTATTTTATACCTTTTCCTACAGTTTTGAATACTGTCTTTCTTAAAATACACTGGAAAGACAAAGAACTTGTTATGCCCTGTTCAGCTGATAGCCCTGGGAGGCCTGCTCTTCCCTGAAGGAAAATAGAGGAGCAGAGCTTCTCCCATTCCATAATCAGATCGAATTCTTTTCTTTGTCCATTTTCAAGTTGTATTTTATTTGACCTCATTCAATCTTTTGAACTGCTCCCATAAATTAGCTAAACATAGCCTCTGACCCCTCATTTCAATTTTATCATATCTTTTTGATAGTTCCTTCAATCACAGGGATCTTTTGCATTAGCATAACAAAAACAAAATTTTCTAGTGATATCAACCAGAGATGACTTTACAACAGAAAATTTTTCCTTTGTTGTTTACTTGTTTTGATTTAGTTGATATGTGTAATACATATGTGGTAAATAATATAATGTACATTATATCATAATATGCATATACTTTGCTATACTATTATATTATATATATCAATCAATCTTGTATTTATGTTATTTCCTGCTCTCCCTGATTAACTGAGCAGAAAAAGACAGAGACCTTGCCTTCAGACTAAACCAACTCAGCTGTGCCTGCTAACATCTAAGCCTTACCGTGCCTGGAACAAAAGATAAAATGAAGAGATCTCCAGGGAGCACATCCTTCAGATAGGCAAGACTGTCTAATCATCTAGAAAATTCAAGGGTGCTCTCTACCTTCTCCAGCTCTGTCCCAGATCATTAGTTCCCTGAGACTGAAATTGCCATTAATATTCTCCTCTTTTATGGGTCTTTTTTTCAACATAAAAATATTCTTGAAGGAGGTGACAAAAGATCTATTTCTGCACACACCTTTAGCCCGAGTTTAGAAAAGTACATAATAGTTCTTAAGAAAGCAAACTGATCATAAAGCAAACATATTCTAGTTAAAATGTTATTTAGGGACATTCTTTTTTTTTTTTAGTGATTTTTTTATTATTATTAATTACACTTTATTCATTTTGTATTCCCCCATAAGCCCCTCCCTCCTCCCCTCCCGGTCCCACCCTCCCCCCCTTTTTGCATGCATGCCCCTCCCCAAGTCCACTGATAGGGGAGGTCCTCCTCTCCTTCTTTCTGATCTTAGTCTATCAGGTCTCAGAAGTGGCTGCATTGTTCTAGGTTATCTCCACGGATAGTCCTTGGTTGGAGTATGAGTCTCTGGGAAGTTTTTAGGGACATTCTTGATTGCAATTCCCTTTCCTGTTCAACTTTCACTGTCTTTGGATAAGAAGAATTCTGGCTACTCTGATACATTCCACCCATGTAGAAGGAAGCACATTTTAAGCTTATCCTGGAGGCTCAGAGAAATAGTGGCCACTAGGAGTATGAAGAGTAGGTCTGGAAAGTCATCACAATTTCTCCTGCAACTCATCTCAGTTCTGTTCCCACCTCTTTTCCCAAATAGCTTGACCTGTGCATACTGAAATAATATATTGTCTGATTGCTGTGTTGACAGTATCATTTTATTTCACTACTTGGGTCTACTATACTCCCAATATCAGTACATGAGGGAGAGAATAATTCCTAAATTTGCAAATATAATCCCCCAAATGAACCTTTAGCAAAGAAACAGCATGCAAGACAGCCCTTTGGTATGCCACATATAGTTCAAAAGAATTGCAAAAGATGCTAAAAAGGCTCTTAATTGCTTTATTAAAGTTGATATGTCATCTCATTAAACTCAAGAATTTGCTACAATTTAAAAATAGATATTGCTTACTATTTAATTTAATAGATCTAATACTTATCACAACTACAAGAAGAAAACACCACAATGGTGTCATTTTGCTTCTTTATCCAAACAGAGAAATTTCTAAAGGTTGGTAATGAGCTGTTTGAGGTCTTAAGGCTGGGCATGGTGGCACACACCTGTAATCCCAGGACTCAAGGAAGCAGAGGCAGGCGGATCTCTGTGAGTTTGAGGCCAGCCTGCTCTACAAAGTGAGTCCAAAACAGCCAAGGCTACACAGAGAAACCCTGTCTTGAAAAACAAAAAACAACAACAGAAAAAAAAAAAAAAACACTAAAAGTTTGAGATCTTAGATTTTCCCTTAAGCAGAAGCCCAGTCTTCTGCCAACAAGTAACACAGAGGGAGTGAGCAGATTCACAGGGACAGTAGACTAGATTGGAAGGGGGATTAGGCAACAGTAAGAAAACAGAATTAAATGAGAAAAGAGAAGAAAAATGTATCAAACAACTCAGGTGGGACCACAGGACTCACTTCCAGCTAAGACATCATGCTTACAGCCCTATACCTACAGACATCAATTGTGACTTCAAATCCCCGCATGAAGATTACATGTTTGGTTATACTGGTTAAGTCAATACTTTTGAATTTTTCAGACAGCACTTGTCTGCCTGAGACAGGCAGTAGTCCCCGCACAGGAGACTAAGTAGCCCCCACACTTCTCCAGCAGTTAGTCCAGCCACGGCCCTCAAGGGAAGACACAACTTGGGTTAGTGTGGAAAGCTGCCCTTCCCACCCCCACCCCACCCTGGCACTGTACCCTAGAAATGCCGCACTGGGAAGCCTTACCTTTTCTTTATTCACTTTTTTAATTGCCCACTTAGCTCCTGTTTCTTTGTCTATAGCTTCACTGACCATTCCAAAGCTCCCCTGTCCCAATATTCTTCCGAAGGTATAGAATTCCTGGAGACAAAACAAGAGTTCATCAGCGGCATTCATCAGGCATTAAGAATGAACATACAATATTGAAAGATATCCACTAAGGGAAGAGGAATTCTGTTCTAGGGTAAGAAAATATCAAATACATAGAGACACTATGCATTTGCTTCAGTAGTAACAAATACATTTTAACTACCCACAGTCAAATTTTAATGACTTTTATTAATTGTATGTCTTTTTCAAAAAAACCATAAAAGTTCTAATAGCAAAATGTGGAAGAATTCAAAATTACAGAAATTGATTTCTTTCGATCTACACATTATAAAGTAATACTAATATAAACTTTCATAATAAAATGAAATATTTTCATAAGGAAAAGATGTGAAACATTAATATACACACGAGCTTGATGCATACATACATATATATATATGCATAAATAATACATTCAGAAAATTTTCACCCCAAAACTCAGAGAGTCACACTATGAAATCAACACTAGTAACTACCAGATAGGCTGCAGATGTAGCTCAATGGTTGGGCATTTGTCTGTCATGCACAGGGCCCTGGGTTTGATCCTAAAACAATAAACAACTGCCTTCTTCTTTAACTACAAGTGCTTTTAATCTCCTCTATTTCTGTGTTATTTCTCTTGCTTTATTAACTTTATTTTAGAAAAGAAAATACATAACAGAAAATTTAATAAAAATCAGAAACAAGAAGAAAATATACTCTATCTACAATACCACTATCTAAACCAGCGGTTCTCGACCTTCCTAATGCTGCAACCCTTTCAAACAGTTCCTCGTGTTGTAGTAACCCCTAACCATAAAATTATTTCCATTGCTACTTTATGACTGTAATTTTACTACTGTTATGAATTGTATTGTAAATATCTGATATGTAAACCCAAAAGAGATTGAAATCCGTGGGTTGAAAACCACTGATCCACAGATGAATGGGGAGGAGATCCCCCCTATCAGTGGACTTGGCAAGGGGCACGGTGGAGAGGAGGGAGGGAGGGAGGGGTTGGGAGGGAATGAGGGATCGGGACAAGGCTGGGATACAGAGTTAATAAAATGTAACTGATAAGAAAAAAATAAAATTAAAAAAAAAAAAAAAAGAAAACCACTGATCCAAACTAAGAATCTTTCTGATTTATCATTTAACTTTTGTTTACAAATAGAGAATGAACTGGTTTGGTCAAAGGAGTGTTCTGGTTCACGGTGCAAAATAAAAACCACACAACTCACTATGTTTGTGTTTCTCAAGAATTGGCAGAAAGAGTCAGTTTTTATGATGCAAATATCAGCAGATGAGTTTCTAAACCATGGGTTGTCCCATGGGACAACAACTGAGTCAGTGCCACAGATGAAGCCTCTGTGAGGCCAGGCAGCCAAACCCTCCCCTAGAGGCTTTAGAGGTCAGACATGGAGCCACCTTCACCTTCATGAAGCAGGTGGCTGCACTGCCCACATTTCCTACTGCTTGCATTTCTCTTTTCCTCTTCCCCAGCACTGGAGTGACAGGTGCCATTGCACTCCCATTTCTACATAGGTGCTGGGGACCCAGATTCTGAGCCTCGTGCTTGCCCTGCAAACACTTTACTGAGTGGGCCATCTGTGCAGCCCTTAACTCATATTTTATATTAATTAGAATCTTGAAAAATGGTGAAGGTATTTATCAAAACTGGAAAAGTGGAGTGTTCCAGTGCCTTTAGGAAAAGATTTTTAGTCCAAATACCCACACTTTAGGTGAAGTCTCTTGGCTCTCCATGAGCAAGAAATAGTCTGTATTTCCTTCAGTAAAAACTTTAATGTGCTTGAAATTTTTTGCTATGGTCTCTACTTCCTTTCCTCAGAGGCTGACTTCTTAATTGTCTCTGTCACAAACCATTGGCTTAGAGGAAACCTAAGTTCAGGTCTAGGGTGTCTTTTTCTTCTGAGCCATCCATCACCTCTGGCTCTTAAAATCCTTCTGCCTCCTCTTCCACATAGCTCCCTGGGCCTTAAAGGGATGAATTTAATGAGGACATCACAGTAGAAGTAAGTGCTCCAAACTGTCTCAGCACATTGTCCAGTCATGGGTCTCTGTGTTAATTCCCATCTACTGCAAGAAGCTTCCCTGATGAAGGCTAAGCAAGACACACATATATGGCTTTAGCACTAAGTCATTAGAAGTCATTTTAGTGCTATATTTCTTTAGCAGAATAATCGTATTAAGTTTTCCCATATGTCCCATAACCTATCTAGTCTTAGGTTCATATATCCACTTACTGGGACTGTGTCAGCACTCATAAGACCTGCACAGGCTCAAGACAGACAGGTCCCAGAACTAAAGGGAGAAGCAGACATAGAGATAACCAAGAAGCTATTTGCAATTGATACCTGCTGGCAAGTGGAAAATCCATTTTCTCCAATGTTATGTGACTGCGTATTCAATCACACTCCAGGGCAGGGCCCCATGCCCAGGAGTACTTGGCCAAAACCAAATGGACTCCATAGTTTGATTTTCATTTTTGTTTTTGTTTTTGTTTTGTTTGTTTTGTTTTGGGGTGTGTGTGTGTGTGTGTGTGTTGTTGTTGTTGTTGTTGTTGTTTTTGGCATTTTTGTCTTTTTGGTCTTTAATTGTTTATTTTTAGTTTTTGTGTTTTGTGGGAGTTTATTTTTGTTTTGAAAGAGAAAGAAGATAAAGTTGGATGGGTTGGAGGTGAAGAGGATCTGGGAGGAGTTGAGGGAGGAGAAACATGATCAAAATATATTGTGAAAATGTTTAAATTAAAATAAATAAATTTTATTTAAAAGATGAAACAAAATGCTTAAAAAAAAAAAAAAGAAACCTGAGCTTCTGTAGTAGCCTTATTTGCTTCCTGCGTACCTCGATATCGGCTCCATTCTCCATTCTTATGTGTGGGACTTTTCCTTCTGTGATATGGCTCCTATTCCACTGTCCCTGAGAACTTCTTCTCTCCACATTTGAAGTTCTTATGGACTAGGACCAAAAGAGAATTTTGAAAAACAACACTTAAGATGTAACATTCTTTTAACAATGAACTCTGAGTGTGATAAGCTTTCATGGATGCCATAGTATTTACCGTATACAAAATAGTTTACTGAGCTGGGCGTGGGGAAGCATACCTGTAGTCCCAGCACTCCTGGAGGCAGAGACAGGCAGATCTCTGTGATTTCAGGGCCAGCCTGGTCTACAGAGTCCAGGACAGGCAAGACTACACAGAGAAACCTTGTCTTGAAAAACGAACAAAACAAAACAGCTTACTATCTTTTTCAAATCAAGAATGCAGTACAAGTCATTGGTTTATTAGGCTAGAGAAGACCTTAAGGTAAGGGCAAAAGTGTCAAAAGGTTCAGGTGAAGAGGGCCTGATTTTAACTAAACTTACCATTCCTTGTCACCAAAATTGTACTAGATTAACTATAGTCTCCCAGTGTGCTCTTCACACAGATGAATATAGCCAAATCAGTTTGATTGGAAATCCACACATTATTTGAAAATCATGTGAACCAACCTTTTAAAGTATATTTTATATTCTAGATAGATAACTAGAACTTCTTAGATAATGAGGCTATAGCCATATTTTGAACTTTGTCATAAATCTCACTCTGTATCAGTTGAAGAAAATTATCAAAAAGTCCTATTCAGTTAAACTTGGAAAGGAAGTTTTTCTTCTATAAATAGCTTTTTAGAGCTGGAATGTTAACTGTTTGGGATTCTGATAAATAATTTTGACAGTGACTGAAAGTATCACAAAACATGTAATCAGCCAACTTTGCTCATCTCTGCTGTGGGAAACAAATAGTTCTTTAAAAACTTTAAGAAGGCCGTGAATTAGCTGACAAGGGCTCATGGGAATAGAGAATGGGCTGTCAATCTGTGTTGTAGAATCTTCAATATTTACCAAATCCTTCAAAGAAGATTCTCTGCTGGAAATTCTTTCTTTTTTTCTCTCTTGTGAAGCAAACATTTCTGAACTAGCAATACTCGATGTCTGTGACATTTCCACCACCAAAACTGGAGCCTGGCTTGGTGAGCACAGGCACAGCAGGCCAGCCTGAGAAGATGCACAGTTTGGGCACTTTGTAGGTTTTTCAACCAAATCATGGTCAGCCATTTTCTTAGATTTGCAACAAAAATAACTTGAAAGAGATGTTTCTACTTTTTGAAAAAGAAAACCAGATCAAAAGGGATGTGATGGATTGCTGGTAAAATCTACTGCTTCTGGTTGATGAGGACCACTGTGCTTCATGCATAAGATCTGTGGGCAGAAAAGAAGGCACCGTTTATCAAACTTCTACCCAGTCACCCTCCTGACAATCACAGGAAAACCAGCAACTAGAACCAAAATATTCCATCAAGAAAAGTTTCTACGTAAAACAAAACTGAACCATAATGTGGTTACAACCAGCAACAATAAACCTAGTTTAATGTTTCTTAATGTGAATTATGCCTAAAAATCGAAAAATATTGGTGTAGAACATATTGGTTTCATAATTTAAAGCTTTAGCCTTCTAGATAATGGCCTAAGAGCAAATATCTTATACACTTCACTAAAGAAAAGAATAATTTGATTATATAAAGCTATCTACTTGTTCAAAGTTCAAAGCTATCTAAAAGTTCAAAGGCAATATTAAAAGTATCCTCACTTTTAGAGGGGAATAAACAGGTACAAGTTTTTCTTGATATTCTAGATAGATAACTAGTATTAGTATTGCTATGTACAGAATTCTGCCAAACTGGGTACATTGCTTGTTTGGAAGCAAGCTGGAAAGATATGAGCTGACGAGGAAAGAAATTCTGTGTTGGGAAATATGCAGGAGCAACAAGGAGCATATTGTGATGGCTTTATGTCATCCTAGTCCAGCTACTCTTTTTTTTCTGTAGTCATTCTTTTTAATTTATTACAATTTATTCACTTTGTATCCCAGCTGTAGCCAGCCCCCTACCTTGTCCGATCCCAATCCCACCCTCCCTCTCTTTTCTCCTCCCATGCCCCTTCCCCAGTCCACTGATCGGGGAGGTCCTCCTCCCCTTTCCTCTGGCCCCAGCCTATTAGGTCTCATCAGGACTGGCTGCATTGTTTTTCTCTATGGCCTGATAAGGCTGCTTCCCCCCTCAGTGGGAGGGAGGTGATTGAAGAGCAGCCACTGAGTTCATGTCCGAGACAGTCCCTGCTACCCTTACTAGGGAACCCACTTGGACACTGAGATACTCTTTTTAAAAATTTATTTTTATTTTACGTTCATTGGTGTTTTGCCTACATGTATGTGTGTGTGAGGGTGTCAGATCTTGGAGTTACAGACAATTGTGAGCTGCCATGTGGGTTCTGGGACTTGAATCTAGCTCCTCTGGAAGAGCAGTCAGTGCTTTTAACCACTGAGCCATTTCTCCAGGCCCCAGATATTCTTTTAAAGTATATTTTATAGACAGCTTCCCCTGACTTAGGAGGTATAGAACATATTTTGTCCTTTGAAGTAGAATAAACTTGCTAGCATAGAAAATTAAATATTTGGATTTTACTAAAGAACTATATTTCTAGTTTTTGATACCTAGGACTAGTTATTTATTTTTATTACATTTGTTTTTGACAACTTCATATATGTACAAAATACATGATAACTCTACCCCTTCTCCCCTTCTCCCTTTTCCTACAACCTGCCTCCCCTCACCGCTTCCCTACAAATTTCTTTCTCTTGTTCATGCCTATTCATGCTTTTCTATGACCCTCTCCTTTCCCTGAGTTTAACCAGGGTTGTCTGTGTAACCATGAGTTTGGAGATACTTGTTAGAGCCTGCCAGGCTCAGGGGTGGCTACTGAAAACAAGAGTTTCTCCTCACCCAGAGTCTACCAGGGTCAGGTCCCATGCACCCTTCCATGAATGACTGATAGGGCTAGTCACATGCAGGTTAACTGCAGTTGTGAAATGATGGTTGCAATGGTTGCACTGAGTTGAGGGTGGCGTTTCACAGCTACTTTACCTGTCCTTCAGCTCTTATATCCTATTTCCGCTCCCTCCTTTGCAACGTTTGCTAAACCTGAGGAATGGTGTAAATATCCCATTTAGTGCTGAACCCACAAATGTCACTTATTCCCAGTACCTTGGACTAGAAAGAGAGGCTTCTGCAATTAGGGTTGGTGGGAGCTCTTGTCTATGGGCATGAACAGAAGTTTAGAAGGCAAGTTGATGCTAGGTAAGATGATTCTTAACCAGAACTAAGTGCTGACTTTCATCAACTCCTTTATCAATTTTGCTTATCATATTTTTCTTCTTACTGGGCCTTTGACATGTCATATTATATTTAGATTTACATTTAAATTTTCCTAATATTAAAGCATTCCTGCTTTTATACTATGGACCCTAGGTGGTCCTGATGAATTATTTTTTTAGGGTACTAGAGAGATGACATATTTGTATTTTGAATTTTCAGTTATATTCATAAGTTAAGTTATTTTTCCTTTAGACATGTCTATTAGTTTTTAAGACAAGATGGTAGCTCACTTCATAAAATATAATGGGAAGATTTTCATTTTGCTGTGCTTTATAACACTCTGTATAACAGGGGAATCCCAGGGCCACAGGATTGTATGAGAGGTACTGCCAGCGTTTTATCCAACATTTACTCTCTCATTCTTCCTTACTAAGTGAATCCTGCTTTTGTTGGAGGTAGCATTGTGCTCCTTAACATCTTATACATATATATATATATATATATATATATATATATATATATATATATATATTATATGTGGCCTTAAAGATAGCCACATGACTTATACAATAGAGTCGCCACTGCTCTTATGCCTTAGTAGGTAAAGCCATGTAGGTGTAAGTACCAGGGATTAGACCTCCAGAACCTACATAAATCCAGACATGGTGAGGCACATCTGTAACCCTAGTAGTCCTACTGCAAGATGGGAAGTGGAGACAGGAGATCCATGCAAGCACTAGGGCCTCTAGCCTAGCATAGGCCTCAGTGAACAAGAAACCATCTCAACTAAGGTGGAAAGCTGTTGACGTCCACACATGCGCTGCAGCACGTGTGTGCCTGCCCTAACACACAAAAACATGTACATAGACACAAGCATTTAAAAAAAATGAAACTATGTTCTAAAACCTTTATGAAAGCCAGAAAAAGAATATGCTACGCAAGCAGTCACATTCTTTAAAAGACAGAAAACTTTAATTAAAGGAGCAAATTTAATATCTGTTGAATCAAATAAATAGCTCCATTGCCACCTCTCAGACTTGCTACTTGTCGCTTGCTCACGTTGCTGCTCCTGATTATACTCAAGGTTTTGCCTGCTGCTTCCTCCGCAAGTATGCTCCTCTCTCAAACTGTCACTTGCTTCACTGAGGCTTCTGTTCACTTGAAGGACCTTTCTAACCACCTCACTGAAACAGAAGGTCTGTGCCCTCAGTCCCCTCACCTCACTTTAATTTCTTTAAAGTACTGATCACCCCGCTCAGGGAGTGTCACAGCAGGGTTCATTCCCACATTATTGAGTAAGTGATGTTCATACAAACTTCCAGAGCAAGGTTTAGCCAGTTAGCTCCATTCTATGCAGTTCACACAACCAAATTCTTACCATGGCAGTGTCCCTCAGAAGGGGGAAGGGATTTTATTGGTCATTCATTTGTGAATGAAAGCAAAATTATTTTAAGTGCTATCCTTTTTTTTATTCCATGTAACATGTACGACATTCTAAAATTATTTAAAGTAATAAACAATCAGTCCAGTAAGTGTGTCCTTCCATCAAAGCAGGGTATCAAAGCAGATGCTGAGACTGATGGCCAAACTTTGGGCAGAGTGCAGGGAATCTTATGAAAGAAGTGGAAAATAGTAAGACCTGGAGAGGACAGGAGCTCCACAAGGAGAGCAACAGAACCAAAAAAAAAAAAAAAAAAATCTCGGCACAGGGTCTTTTCTGAGGCTGATACTCCAACCAAGGACCATTCATGGAGATAACCTAGAACCCCTGCATAGACGTAGACCATGGCAGCTCATTGTCCAAGTGGGTGTCATAGTAAGGGGAACTGGGACTGTCTCTGACATGAACTGATTGGCCTGCTCTTTGATCACCTCCCACTGAGAGGGGAGCAGCCTTACCAGGCCACAGAGGAAGACAATGCAGCCATTTCTGATGAGACCTGATAGACTAGGATCAGAAGGAAGGAGAGGAAGACCTCCCCTATCAGTGGACTGGGGGAGGAGCATGGGTGGAGAAAAGGAAGGGGTGGTGGGATTGTGAAGGGAGGAGGGAGGGAGCTATAGGTGGGAAACAAAATGAATAAACTGTAATTAATAAAAAAGAAAAGAAAAAAACTAAAAAAATCCTCATAATGTCAAGTGTGGGTAACATAAACAGCGGCCACAGGGGGATGGAGAGGCAGAGAGAGGACTCACTGGTAAAGCAGTTGCTGCACAAGCATGGAGACCTGAGCTCAATCCCCAGCGCTAAAAGAAAAATCCATGTGTGGTGGTGCATAGATAATCCCAGCTCTGGGGAGGCAGGAACAGGAGAATCCCCGGATTAGGTGGCCAGACAGCCTAGCCTAATTAGAGAGCCCCAAGTCCCAGTAAGAGACCATGTCTCAAAAAAAAAAAAAACAAACAAAAAACAAAACAAAACAAAAAAACACCTGGAGGTGACAGGGCCCAGCCTGAGGAGACTGACGCACCAACCAAGGACCATGCATAGACTGGACCTAGGCCCCACACACAAATGTAGCAGATGCGCATCTCAGGCTTCATGTGAGTTCCCTAGTAGGGGGAACAGGGGCTGTCTCTCTGACATGGACTCAGTTGCCTGCTTTTTTATCACTCTCCAGTGGCAGGGCTGCCTCACCAAGCCAGAGGAAGAGTACTTGCTCAGTCCTGATTCTGCTTGATAAGCTAGGGTAGGTTGGTGAGGGGGGCTCCCCTTCTCTGAGGAATAAGGGATGGGGGAAAGAGGTAGGGAGGGTGGCACCAACAGGAGAGGAAGGATGTAAAGTGAATAGATAAATTAATTAAAAAGAAGGGGAAAGTGGATGACTCCTGAGAACAGCACCCAAGGTTAACCACTGGCCTCCACACGCTCACTTGTGCACACACACACACACAGACACACAC